TGGACTCACTATGGTTCAAAGATGTAGAAGTGGTAAAAGTAGATTTTTGTAAGCCTAATTGGATTTGAATGGAATGGACTGAAATGGAGGGGAGGAAGGCAAAAACATAACAATTCACACTAGGGGATTTTTTTTTTTGTGCAAACGAATAATCCTTATGCGCCTGAGACGGATCTTCATTGTAAAAGCCTAACTTCCTCATCATCACCAATCTTAGCTCTTACTCTCTGCTTTGTGCTTTAGAAATTACTTCCCTCTTTTTAAATGGGAAGAATTTGGAGGAGGAAATATAGAAGAGATTATATTTCAAGCACATCAGAAGAACGTGGGGGTGCTTTGATAATTATACCACCATAGAATCACAAGAGCAAAATAATTATCTAATTTTTTTCTAATGCTAGAAGTTTTACTTTTACTTTACCCCATCACTTTTATTTGTTCTCGTGAATACTTGTCCCAACTCTGAAGCGTATAATATTATCGCACTGATGTTGCACGGATGAGTCGCACCTATACTGCACCACAATCACACATATATTGCACTAATGTGGATATGAACTCCCCTTCCAGAAGCATTAAATTTGAACATTGTGATTCATCTAAATATGCTCCTACAGACAAATCTTAATAAGGATACCAAACAAGTTGGTGTACATATTATGTAACCATTAGCTATTTTAAAGCCAGCAGGAAGTCCAATGATCAAGTTGATATGTAGTATATCATTAAGATGATGCAGGTTTTGCAAATAAGATTTTCAAAAAAAAATGTCAGCACATTTTCTATTCAATCTAATGCATCTTTAACCTATTCAAAACCATTTGATCATAAATACAATGCAATAAATTTTTATTTATTTTCTCGAGATTGACATTTTATTTTAACCAAAACCTGAAAGATTTAGATGTAACATAATAAATCAAACAAGAAATTTTGAAAACAGATGAACTCGCTAAGATAGTAAGATTCAAAGATATAGAAATGGGAAAGCGGAATTTTGTGGGGATACTTGAATTTGAATGGAATTAATTGAAATGGGTGAAAAAAGACAAAAACAGAACAGTTCATACCAAGGAATTTATCTGCAAATAAACAGTCCTTTTTCTTGCTATAATGTAAATGGAATCTAGGTTTCAAAAGACAATACCTTAAGCATGTCTTCATTGTAACGGCTAGGGGCGTACTGAAGAGGCTTGCAGCTGCCATCACTGAAAGCACAAGTTCTTGCAACAGCGAGGCCATGGTTGGACGCTTCTCTAATGGCCTCCGGTGCTTTATGCACCTGAGAAGGATATGAAGCCATATACATTAGCAAGTAGGCATTGAAGTCATTGCCATAGAAAGGACTGCCATTCAGCAAGAACCGAATCTCGTTTGTTCTGATGAATCCATCACTTGCCTTCACTTGAAGAAGGAAAGCGTTTGTGTGAATGATTAGAAGAGTTATGAACAACGTTAGACCTAACTTCCTCATCATCACTGATCTAAGCTCTTGCTCTCTGCTTTGTGCTTTATAGATGACTTTCCTCTTAAATGGGAAAAATGTGAATAGGCAAATACAAAAGAGATTATATTTCAAGCATAGCAAAAGAATGTGAGGGTGCTTTGTTAATTAATGTCATCGCAGAATAACAAGAGCAAAATAATTACCTGTATTTTTTTTTTCTAATGCTTGAAGCTTTTCTTTTACTTCACCCCTTCACTTTTATTTATTCTCCTGAATGCTTATCCCAACTTTGAAGCATATAACTATTACATCAGTTTTTACGATTTATAAAGTATGTTACGAAGTAGTGAGTCGCACATATGTTGCACTGATGAGTAGCACCTATATTGCACCACAATCGCACGTATATTGCACTAATATGGATATGAACTCCCCCTTCACAAGCATTTTAAATTCGAACATTGTGATTAATCAGAATGTGCTCCAATCTTAATAAAGATAACAAATAAATTGCTATGTATAAATCATGTAACCATTAACTGTTTTAAAGCCAAAAGAAAGTCCAAGTCTAATGATCAAGTTGACTACTATTATGAAAGTGTAGGATATCGCACACAACTCAAAAGGCTCAAAAGGCTAGAACAATGTGGTTATAGTTGTCTATTCGAATTATCACATATCAACTAAATACGAATCTCTAAACTACTTGACAAGTGGCAAACAATCCACACTCTTGATTTAAATGTTTTCTATGGTTAAATAGTGCATCAATGAAATACTTATAGATCATTTTGCTAAATGTAGATGAGAACATATTATGGTTTTTTGGTAAAACACTAAAGCTCCAGGATGAACAATGCAACTAACATCCATCTCTAAGAGGTCAAAACACCAATAAAAATATGTCAGACTCTTCTCGTTCTCGCCATGTGAGGCTGTGATCAGTTTCTAATTTGTTTTCCCTTGCTGACCCTATTAGAAGAAGCTCCTCCTCTCTTCAGCCTTGCGAATATCTTTCGGATAAGAAAAAGCTTGTGCGACTGTTGGGCAATTAAATTTGCAAGCGGAGTCCGTTGGCTCAACACTATCTCATATCCATCACCAAAATTATCCATCCCTTCTGTAAACAGCTGCCAGAATAGGCCCCCAGCAGCGGCTCCCCCATGTTTGGCCGACAAATATATTTTGTAGTACACCGCGTTGTACAGAGTGTCTCTCTGGCTGGAGGTGAAGCCCGTGTCTTTCCGGGATTTCCCGAATTCTGAGATCAGCAGTGGCTTCTTCAGGGTGTGCTGAGAATCTTGAATGTGAAAGTCAAGCCAGATGTTGAGGAATGCCAGTTGGTCTTCATCATTTGAGCTCGTCAACCTGTCAGTTAAGGGATGGCCTCCACATTATGCACACACATAATCAAGAAAATTTGGTTACATTTAGTGTGACATAGGATATACTCTCTGCTGACACCATAAAATATTAGTTTACGAATTATGATTGTATTCCATAAAATGACACATATTAATTCACACTTCAGTCTTCCAATCATTATCGGAGAGATTTTAGAAGGTATCTTAAAATTTATGGATGATGGTTAGAGTAGAAAAGATGGAATACGCAGAGAAATGTTAGTAAAAATTGTATCAAAATATTAAACAATAGAACAGTTGCAAGAGAACAAAATTCGAAAAAATATTGATAAATTTCAATTAAAAAAAGTAGAAAAATGTGCAATGTATTAATTACCACTGATCAGGATAGACGTGAGTCGTAGCAAAATCAATGGCAGGAATACGGTTGTTTGCAATGAAGTCAGTTCCAACGTTGAGACTGAGGTTCAGATTTTTATTATTGTTCCAAGATGATGATGTTTGCCCATAGAATCCTTCTAAACCGGCTTCTAACAGATGGACTCTGTCTATGGACTTCAAATAATAGGCCATTTCCATTATCCATGCCTGTCATGAAAAAGCACATTTTTCATATAATAAGGTGTAAGCCAATGATTAAACCATGATAACATCTTTTCTGACTGAAAATCTTACTCGGTATAAAATTTTAGTCACAATATTTATGACTACTTAGGTCATAGTGAAACTATGAAAAAATCTTGATAAAAACAAGAAATCGAATAATATTTAAAAGTAACTTTTAGGAGATCAATATTTTGTAACAAAATATTATTGATTACTTGGTAAATAGTAATCATTTTTTGAACCGAATTCGACCCTTTCCGTTACGTGCATTGGTCCAAAATGATTAAGAAATTTGCTGATAATCATGCACTGAAGTATACTCATATTTTTTCGATATTGGTCAGAGCTAATATTACCGATCAAAGTGAAAAATAAAAATATCAGACAAGTATGGTTACTTGGTTAGCAACAAAGATTTTCCATCTATGGCTATACACTTGTACCACAATAGACCAGTGGAAACAGAATAATTTCGAAAAGGAAAAAAATTAATGAGAGGGTATTAAAGAACGTGAAAACATAATTTTGCAGTATATAGTTTAATGCATCCCAAGTTCAATCACGTATTAGTATATGATTCTCAATTACGTATATATATATATAAATGTGAGTATTAGATACTTATCGGTTAATTAACTAATACGATAGTACTTTTTTGGAGAAAACCCCAAAGTTATGGAAGAATTCCTAAAAAGGAAGACACCAAAGTCCCCAAGACTTGGGACATAAAAATATATCATGTCTGCAATTAGAATGTTATAACTTAGATTGAAATTTCCTAATCCAATCTGGTTTATATAAATCTAATATGTTCTGATAAATGTCTTCTATGTGAATTTCTTTATTGCCTAAGTATGATATGAGCTGGTTTGATTTGATCTGTTTAAATCTGATCTAATATGTCTAATCTATACTATGTATGTTGTAAGCCCACTGAAAACATCCTTACTGACCATCAATTCACAATGACCACTACCCATGCAGTTATCAACAAGCACCTGAGAAGTACTACTATTAAATATGTTGGTGATCTCTAGGTCCAAATATTAAAAAAATAACATTTTTGTCGATCGAGCATGTTTTCAATTTGTGACATCCCATAGATACTCCAGTAAAGTACTGCCACAAATTTAGCATCTCAATAATATACCTACTGGTAGATCATAAATCCATTATCTATCTACTAAAATTAGAAACCTAGATATTGAAAAGTTAAGGATGTCAATTGCTATAAAATAAACTTAAAGAAAGATCTGGTGTTAAATTATGAAGCATTGTACAAACACAATTAGAACCTGAATGGTAGATCCAGATGGATCTGAGGTGCACCTAGGCTCATTCATAAGCTCCCAAGCCATGATTGTAGGGTCATTCTTGTAAACAACTCCAGTCCAAGTGTTTCTTCTGTTCAGAACGGTCTATAGGCCACACAAATTAAATCCTCCACCATAGTCAGTAAAAGAGCAGAGACTGATTGCTTGATCCATGAAACTATAAATAAAAACAATGATTAATCATCTTACATTTATATGGTTCTTGTAGTACCCTTTGACAATATTGTTTCTGAAGAAATCATCTTCAGAGCTTAAATACTGCCCTTGATGTCTAGCCCAGTTCACATACTGCTTCTTTCCCCCAAAACTGTCATAATTATTTGCCAGGCTTAGAATCACCTTAATCCCATATCTCCTTGCTTCAGCTATCACAAAATCCAAACCCTTCCATACACAAACCAGAAAAAGTTGTCAGCTGTAAATATAATTTCATTTTAAGGCTATGTTTGGAACTGGGGAATCGGGGAAAACTATAATAAGGCAATCTTTCGATCTCAGAGAACACAAAGAAAAGAAAATGTCAATAGCTTTATTTGCTTATGGTTGGATGTACTTTAGAAAAAGAATAAGAAACCTAAAACAGACACTAAAGAAAGATTGGGGAAATAGTGTATAAAATGATTTTTTAAAGAAAGTATGTAAAACGATTAGGAAAATAGTCCAAATACTGTATATAACATTAGGATGTTAAAAATATTAAACTTTAGTGGTATGACATACTTAACTTATTTGAATAAATCAGGATAAATCATATCATTTCAGATCTAAATCCATCAAATTACATAGGAACTAAACGAATCAAATCATTAAAATCATATCAAACTTAAGTGTACTAAACCAAAATAGACAAGGCCAGCAAATATCAATATAAAAAATAGCAAACTTGAATATACATTGCTCACAGAGTTAATTTACCTATGTTTCAATCTCTGGTATAGCATCCTCCATATTTTTTAAAAATTTTGATTCAGTAAACTTATAAGTAGGTGATTTCTGCACTCCACTTATGATCATATACTATACATATTTGATATATCATTAAGATGATGCAATTTTCGCAAATAAGATTTTTTTATTTAAAAAAATGTCACCACATTTTTTATTCAATCCATTGCATCGTTTACCTATTCAGAGTCATTAGATCATAAAAACAATGCAATAAATTTATTCTTATTTTCATGAGAATGCCATTTTATTTTAACCAGAACCTGAAAGATTTAAAAGTAATATAATAATCAAACAAGAAATTTTGAAATCGGATGGACTCACTCAGATAGTAAGATTCAAAGATGTCGTAGTGGGAAAAGCGAGATTCTGTGGGTGTAATCGAATTTGAATTTGAACGGAAAGAATTCAAATGCAAGAAAAAAAGGCAAAAACAGAACAGTTCAAACTAAGAATTCTGGGGCAAATAAACAGTCCTTATTCTCTTCGTACAGTGTAAATAAAATCTAGGTCTCAAAAGACACTACCTTAAACATGTCTTCATTGTAACGGCCAGGAGCGTACTGAAGCGGCTTGTAGCCGCCATCACTGAAAGCCCAAGTTCTGGCAACGGTCAGGCCATGGCTGGACGCTTCTCTAAAGGCCTCCGATACTTTGTGCGCCTGAGAAGGATCTGAAGCCATATACATTAGCCAGTAGGCGTTGAAGCCGTTGGCATAGAAAGGACTTCCATTCAGCAAGAAATGAATCCCTTCGGTTCTGATGAATCCATCTCTTGCCTTCACTTGAAGAAGGAAAGCGTTTGGGTGAATGATTAGAAGAGTTATGAACAAGGATAGGCCTAACTTCCTCATCATCACCGATTTAATCTCTGGGTCTCTGTTTTTTGCTTCAGAAATGGCTTCCTCTTTTGAACTGGGAAAAAGTGAAGGAGGAAATACAGAAAGATTATATTTTAAGCCCAGCAAAAGAACGTGGGGGGTGCTTTGTTATCAATGCCGTTGCAGAATAGGGAAGAAGAT